TAGCTGCTCACCGTGACTACGAGCTACACTCTCTTGACTTCAGCACTGCTTTCTTGCAGGGCAGCCTGCACGAGGAGATCTGGCTGCGTCGCCCACCTGGCTTCACTGGGTCTTTTCCTCCTGGCACCCAGTGGAGCCTACGGCGGCCAGTCTACGGTCTCCGCCAGGCACCGCGTGAGTGGCACGACACACTGAGGACTACACTTGCAGCTCTTGGGTTTGCTCGCTCTACTGCCGACCCGTCGCTGTTTCTGCGCACCGACACTTCTTTGCCGCCGTTCTACATCCTCGTGTACGTCGACGACTTGGTCTTTGCCACAGCTGACACTGCTGGACTAGCCCACGTGAAGTCCGAGCTGCAGAAGAGACACACGTGCACTGACCTGGGTGAACTGCGCAGCTACCTTGGCTTGCAGATCACTCGGGACAGAGCACGCCGCACCATTACCCTGACTCAGTCACACATGGTGCAGCAGGTCCTTCAGCGCTTCGGCTTCACGTACTCCTCGCCTCAGGCCACTCCTCTGCCTACTCGCCACTCGCTCTCAGCTCTGCCTTCGGATGAGTCCGTAGAGTCGAGTGGCCCGTACCCAGAGCTTGTTGGCTGCCTCATGTACCTGATGACCTGCACACGACCTGACCTTGCATACCCTCTTAGCATTCTTGCACGCTATGTTGCTCCTGGGAGACACAGACTGGAGCACATGGCTGCAGCTAAGAGGGTGTTGCGCTACTTGTGCAGTACGTCGGGCATGGGGCTTGTGCTTGGAGGGCAGAGTCCAGTGGTCCTTACTGGGCACGCAGACGCTTCTTGGGCTGACGACCAGGCTACGCAGCGGTCGTCACAGGGTTACACCTTCAGCCTTGGTTCTGGCTCTGTTTCGTGGCGGGCTACTCGCTCGTCTTCTGTTCTCGGCTCCAGTTGTGAGGCTGAGATCTACGCAGGAGCCATGGCTGCACAGGAGCTTCGCTGGCTCACCTACCTGCTGACTGACCTCGGAGAGTTGCCTCGTTCTCCTCCAGTGCTGTACGTAGACAACAAGGCCATGCTGGCCTTGTGTCGGGAGCAGCGACTGGAGCACAGAACGAAGCACATTGCTCTCCGCTACTTTCTTGCTCGTGAGCTGCAGCAGCGTGGTCAGCTGCGTCTTGCGTACGTGGCCTCTGAGGCCAACACTGCTGATATCTTCACCAAGGCACTTGCGCCTTGTGACCATCAGCGCTTCTGTACTCAGCTGGGCCTTGTGCCTACCTTGCCTCACTTGCTCACCTCTTGACCTTGCTTGTACTGTTACATATATATATACCTGCTCTTGTTTGTCTAGCCTTTTTTATATATATGTGTACTCCTGCTTGTGAACTGGCCTTGTGGCCTTGAACTTGTGCTCGGAATGTGTGGTGACTTTGTGATCCACCCTGAGCTTGTTTTTGCTTTGCTTTGCTTGACTGGTCTTGTGACCCCTTGTTCTCCCCCACTTTGCCTATGGGGGTGTGTCAGATTTATATAACATAGCTACTGTAGGCTATAGTGGGGTAGCACATATGGGGTACAGTTTTCTAGGGTTTGCTCCTTGTACCCAACTTTCACTTAGTCATTTCATTCCTCGTTTCTTCTCATCTCTCGCATTTGGATTGAACTTCTCCGGTTGCCTCGGACGTGCCGCCTCAAGATTCACTGTAGCCGCTGCCGCTGCTGCTGGGTGAAGTGTCGGTGTCGCCACTGCTGCCGCTGCCGTCGCTGCTGCATTTGCTGCTACGTTCGTTGCTGCTATGGTTCGCGAGAAGCTCCTCTATTCGCTGGAGTGCCGCTCGCGTCTGGTCCAGGCCGGTGTGTAACTCCGTAATTTTCCGTACGGAATTATCACCATTTTCCTCCATTTGGCAATTTACAGGAAAATGTGCGACGAAAATGATTGAATTCTAGGCGCTGGTCATCTCACTGTGAGTCGAACCGACTGTAGAAATGACGAGCGCTGTTTCTGTAGGTTGCGTAGTTCTCCCTTGGTCGAAATTCGCGTCTGATCTTGGCTGTTGAGAAGAAATTCGATCCGACGCTCCAAATTCCAAATTTTGTGGGCGAAATTCTCAGGGCCGTTGAGATTCGAATCGATCCGACGGTCGAACTTCCAACTTTTTCGCCACTGGACCTGAGGAGTGTTCGAAAACCGGTTCGAGGGGGACGTTAAAAAATAGCGCGGACTGGTTTACGTACCCGAAATCGGCGCTTTCCGTCGTCGCCCCCGCGTTTTTTAAAAGCTGGTTTTTAGCGGTCGAAAAACTTCGCGTCTAAACAGGCTCTGATAACCAAGTGTGGATCTAGGATCGAGCTCAGAAAAGAGAATTGTAATTGAATGCTCATGTGGGTACAACACGAGGCTATATATAGTCTCGACACAAGGCCAGTTACCCAGGTGTTACGCGAATGTTCTGAGGGTCGCGAAGCGTCCCGAACAAAACCTTCCTGAACTCAGTAGAAAGCAATTCGGTGGAAACCGAATAGGCTTGAGTTCGGTACACGTAACCTCGTTCGGTGCTATAACTATAATAAAATATAGGAATGCACCTAACCTAGGAAATCAAGCATATCTATGCATGATAAATAAAACCCAAGCTAGATATAGCATAATAAAGTCTAGGCAAGCTAGCAAAGCCAGCATAAGGCGTTGTACTCTCACAGTTGGGTCCTTTAGGATATCCTTCGTGAGCGATGAGACTTTCAGCGATGCAGATGTGGGGAGGGATTCGAGCCGGGACGTCAGTAACAGCCAGAGATAAAAGCAGGAGCGGTAAGGGTAAGGAAAGCAACATGCAGATACCGTTTATCTCATGGACCTTCCTGATGGTCAAGGTCCACTTGTCGATGCTGGCTTGACGCTCTATAACGTAAGCATTGTGATACTTAGTCATGTGATGCCCCTTGCATGACCCGCAGGTGAGCGCGGGATAGTCGACCAGCAGCTTCTTTCCTGGGTTTGACGGATCCGGAACCGCATGACGCCACAGGTCCTCGTCGTTCTCATGCTCGAACACCAGACCCCGCACCTTATCAGTGTCCATCCCCGTGACAGGGTCCAGCACTCTGTGGAAACCCACACCCTCGCTGAAGGCATGCTTCCCCTTCTTCATCAGCGTAACCTCCGTTAGCATTTTCCGGATCAGCTCGGGGGAGACACCCGCTGGGACCGACTTCAGTAGAGCCTCCACTGCATCCAGATTTATTTGCCTCTCGCGCCTGTAAACCGCGTTCTCCGGATGCTGCTAGTGAAGCGTCAGGGACACGCCGTTCTCCAACACGTGCTCGATCGAACGCATCCAGACAAAAGTCGCGTCTCTCGCATGCTGGAAGGTAACCTGAAGCCTGCCGTACCGCTTCTTTGACAGCCACGCCGGCAGCAGCTCCTGGTACGTCGTGGTCGTCTGAGCATCAGCTGTTAGTGAGGCCTTCCAGAAGTTCAGGTGCAAAACCACCGTAGGCTTTAACCTCTTGACCTCATCCTCCCATTTGATGGGGATGAGTAGCGTGATCGGGAAGCTGACCTGTGTGGTAAGAAGGTTGACTGCAGCCGGATCGAAGTCGTCTTCATCGTCGCTATCCCAGCATCCATCGTCCTCTGTGTTCTTGCTGCAGCCCACCGTGCCACGTTCAGGTACCTCAGCCGCGCGACCCGTTGGACCAGCGGTTGACGCGCTCTGCTGCGGGAGCGTAATCGGATCTTCCTCTTCCTCCCTGTCCTTAAGCTCGTTAACCTTCAGTGCAGACAAGCACTCCTGCAGGGAGACATTTGCCGTATCATCCAGTCCGCCAGTAGCCGTCTTTGGAGCCTGAGGCGAAGCTTGCGCTGAGACTAGCGGGCTCTTATCGGGAGAGTGTTCCGTGCTTGTCAGGGGGGTGTTGTCAGCCGTGATGTTAACCTTCCCTCCTAGCTTCCCCCCTTCCCGTCCATTGCGTCGACCAGCCGCCATTGTGCAATGATGGAAAAGGAGGAACATGCTTGTAAGGAAGCTTGATAAAAACCCTTTGCTGAGCACCAATATGACACGATGAATGTCTGTGACTTTGCTTAAGTAGTATGTTGCCTCCAATGCCTTGATGTTAGATATAGCCAGAGCTTTTAGCAAGGCATTATCAGTGCCGAAATGAATTCCCTGAACAATGGATACCGGTAACGAAATCTGCTTGTCTGACGGGTCAGGATCAAGAAGCCAATCCGCGTCAAGTGACCTGAACTCGGAGCTCCATGTTAAAACCTTGAAACCTGACGAAGCGGCTTGGACCTTTAACATCTTTATGTCTCTGGAACATAGGCCCTTTAAAAATGCTAAAAGAAGAAAGCAGATGATTTCATGAGCTGTACAGAGTTATGCTGGAACAAGTAGAGCTTTTTTGAATTTGATGTGGTGTACGCGATATGACGGAGCCAACCAGTTTTTTGGGAGATTTGTCAGCCTCTCCCCTTCCCCATTGGAAATTCCGCCTGTCACTCCACAAGTTTTCTCAGGCAAGACGACTGAGCCCAGACCCAGAAACACTTGCTATCAGACCAGACCAGATTCGCCGGAAAAGGCTTTGCTCTGACGGCAACGCATTTCCGTCGGACTGACTGTTGTTTCATGCGCAGGGCCTTCAGATATTCCGTTAAATATAAGCTTTAGTGTCTCGCGTAGCGTCGTCATTTATCTCGCGAAGCGTCGTCAGATATTCCGCTTTCAAGATGATATTAGTGAAGTTGCTGCTAGCATTGCTGCTGATCGCACCGCTCCGGTCCAATGCTGACGGAACAGAGTCAAGTAGGACAGATTCCGTCCATTCTAACAAAACCTTGGCGGAAGAGCACATTGCTTCTGTCATGATGGACTGGCTGGTGGAACGAGGAGTCACTGGACTGACTCCAAACTCCCCCTTGCAGGTACTTTCTACATCATCTAGTTACCCCAAGCTATTCTCGCGAAATCTGGACGTTTCTGCATTTTATTTCTTGTTTTTTTTTTTCCCCTCAACGATGCACCTTCCTCCTCCCGATCTCGCAACGTCACATACGTCGCATTCCCCTTCTCCTACGTCAGATTGTGGTGGGGAAACCACGTGGTAACCGCGGGTTGTCGCGTACAAGGTGCGATAGCATTGTGGATGAAACGACATGAAGGTGGGACAGCAATGCATGCAAAACAGCGTCATAACTTCAGTTTTCTCGCATGCCTACATCTAACGAAGGCGAGCATCTGCTCTCCTCCTTTCCGCCCTCATGTCGCTCATCCAGCACATCACTTGACCCACCAGCGCTCACAATCCCTAAGGCCCTCCCGCATGGCCCTCCCTCATCTTAACCATGATATTTCCATCGTAGAAACACGCGAATTTGTTTAAAACGACCCCCTCGTTTCTACTCCCTCACTCCCTTCCTTCCTTCTACCCACACACCCTCCCCTTGCCCCACCCGTTCCCCAGACGCGGCCTCTCCGTCGTAGCAGCGCGCGATCTAGTCGAGGGAGAACCGCTCTTCTCCCTCCCCCCCTCCGCCTTCATCTCCCCAGAACAACCTATCACTCTCCCCTACCCGTACCCCCTCACGCCCGACGTCTCGCCTCTCTCCGGGTGGACGGCCTTCTCCATCCTGGCGGCGTGGATTCTGAGGGAGAAGCGCAAGGTGGAGAGCGGTGAGGGGTCGCAGTGGGGCGTGTATGTGCGCTCGCTGCCTGAGTACGTGCCGCTGCCGGTGTTTTTTCCGGACGATTTGATTCAGGAGTTTGAAGTGCAGAGCATGATCGACCATGTGAGTGCGTGGGTGGGTTGGTGAATGAGTCGGGAGTGAGTGCGTGTGTGAGTGGGTGAGCAAATGGGTGGGTGAGTGGGTGAACGGTTGAGTGAGAGAGTGAGTGGGTGAGTGAGAGAATGAGTGGGAGAGTGTGAGAGTGAGTGGGTGAGAGAGAATGAGTGGGAGAGTGTGAGAGTGAGTGGGTGACGTTCCCGTCCTTCCCTGTTCCCAAATGCTACACCTCCTTTCTCCCCACCTTCCCTCCTTCAGGCCTTCTCCTACCGAGAAACGTTCAAGTCAGAGTACGAGCGGTGTGACAAGGCAGCTATCGGCAATGCGGGTGAGGAGGAGTTCATGTGGGCCGTGGCTGTCGTGTCCTCCCGGGCCTTCAGCAAAACAGCCAGCAGTAGTGCAGGCAACAACACTGGAAACAGCAGCACCTGCAGCCATGGTAACAGCAGCGAAGACAACAGCAGTGACACCAACAGTAATAGCGGCGATGACAGCGGGAGCAGCAGCAGCAGCAGTGGTGGTGGCAAGAGCTGCAGCAGCGGTAGCAGCAGCAGCGGGTCCAGTGAGGCACAGTATGTGACGGCGCTGTTCCCCTTGGCAGAGCTGTTTGACCACCACGCTGCCAACACCATGGGCTGGCAGGTCAGTGGGTGCTTCGGCTTCACGTGAGTGGGCTTCTGAGTAGAGTAGAGGTGCTGTCCCATTTGTGATGCTGTCCCAGCTCTCTGATTTGCTTCCTGTGCTGTCTGTCATCCCTCGTTTTGGCAATCAATTCACTCTTTTCACACCCTTTTCACATCCTTTGCATACCCTTTGCACTAACAGACGGACGAGCAGACCGACACCATCGTCGTTCGGAGCTACGCCGCCCTGCCAGCTGGCGGCCAGCTGTACAACAGCTACGGGACAAAAAGCACCGACATGTTCCTGCAGGCGTACGGCTTCGTGCCGGCCGACAACCCGCACGACTCGTTCCAACTCACCGCCTCCGAAGCTGACCTGGCAGAGATATACTATAAGCACTATGCGAACGTGACTGTAAAGGAGGGGAGAAAGGGCATGTTCGACCTGTGGGCGGAGTATCTGCTAAGGAGGACGAGCGAGGATGTGAGGGCAGCGAAAGAGAAGGTGGAGGAGGAGGTGGGGGTGATTGGCGGGCCAAAAGCAGATGTGTTTGGGGAGGGCAGTGCGCATGGGGTGTGGGCAGGAGGGCAGGTGGACCCGCGCATGCTCCTCTTCCTCGCGTCGCTGTGGCACGTGTTTGGCTACGGGGAAGGTGCGTGGCTCCTGTGCCGTAATTTGGATGGCTTGCGTTTGCGTCCAGAGAAGGTATATTGTTCTTTGCCATGGTTTACAATTTTGCATAATCTCCCTTCATATGTTTAACCTGCTCATGCCTGTTTTCTTTCTTAAACATTCACTTTACCCTCCGTTACCCAACCCTCGTTTTTTTGGGGCCCCCCATGCTGTCACAACTACTACCAGAGCCCAACTACTCAGGTTTGGCCCAAGCCTCAGTGTGGTTCGGCTGGCACATCTACAGTGGAACGTGCGCTGACATGGCCCAAACCATAGGCCTGACCGACCACGAGCTCACGAGCCTCCTCGCCGCAGCTGATCTGGTTCGGGATGAGGTTCGGCAGGCCCTGGCGAGCTGGTCCACGCCTATCGACGAGGATCGGCGACGCCTGAAGCAGCTGGAGAAGTGCTGGTGGGTGGATGGGAAGATCGAGAAGATGGAACGGAGGAAGAGGAAAGAGAGGAAGTGGGAGAAGGCGAGGAAGGGGAAGAGGAGGTGTGCACAAAGGACGTGGTTCAATCACTCATGGAAAGGGAGCTGGTGCTACAGTACCGTATCGCAAAGAAGAAGCTGCATGAAGTTTACGATCGGCTAGAGGAGGGGTGCTCGTCTCTCTTGCAGTCAGAGTCTCCAGAATCTAATTCCGCAGAGGCGGCATCAGAAGGGTTGAAGGGATTGTTACCAGAGCTGACTGTGTCGGCTCCACATTTGCCTGCAGAGCAGCATGACGAGCTTTAGGGTTACATTTTCATTGCCAGCTTGTACACTTACTATTGTTGATTGTGTTGTCAAGGGACTTCGGTGGAAACTTGTGGATTTGAGATGTTGATCTCCAGAGCTTTGGAAAAAATGGAGCACAGAATATCTTATACGGCATAATTATTTGTTTTTTATCTCTACATTCCTAAACCATCTATTATGGTGGAACAACATTGGCGTAAATAAAAGGAATTCTAAAGAATTTCGAGTCTGCTGATTGGGTGACTAGTTGGTGGGAAACTGTCATGTGGACCCGGCTAGGTCACCCGCAATGCTGTCCAGTCACCATGACAAACGACAACTGCGACAACCTGCACGTCCACAAGCTGAAACATCACTCCAGTGGGGCACTAGGAGACACAGAAGACGGAGACCACAAACAGCGGAGCCAATCCTTTGATATATGCACTGTACAGTCTATCAAAATCATTAGAAAGAGAACATTTCATCCTCTGATGTATCTAATGGAAGACTATCTAAGTAGTGCTTCTCCTCTACAATATTATCTCTAAATGCAGTATCTACATGATATCCGATAGCGGCCTGCCCTCCACTTCGCACATCCCCTTTATGCTGAAACAAGGACGGTTGGTGTACATATGCTTGACGCCTTTTTTCCGTCAAATACCTATGGATGAGCAGGTCCATTGGTGCAGCAAACCAATTTTCCTCCACGAAGGAAACGATGGGTGCAGCCGCAGTTGAGTTGAAGAGCAGAGCCTGCGCACAGCAGGGAACGAGGTACTTGTTGCCGTGCATGATTGGCCAGAAATATGAAGCTGGATGGTAGAGAGAGAGCAGGTCCCAATCTGGCTTGTCTTTGAGATCCTTGGAGATGAATCTGTCAATCCCAAGGTCCCACATTCTGACTGGCAGCGTGTCGTCTTGTAACAGGAGGATGTGACGTGCCTTTGTAGCCATGCATTCCCTCATGACGTCGACGAAATCCGGTGCCAGCTTGGCATGCCACCGCCACTTCTGCCATCCGTCCCTTTCCACATGCTGGCGTGGCACCATCCGGAGCAGCTGATCTGGATCGTTTAGAAGGTTGCACGATGCTTGATTGGCTGTGATGACATGGACAGGAATGCTCAAGTTAGCGGAAGCTTCAGTGATGGAGCGCGTGTGCGGCTCGACGAGGTAATTCAAGGACGAGGAAGAATGAATGGCTTCAAGGAGAGATCTGGCATAGTCGCTGGTGACATTGGCTTCCTGTGCATACGCACTCACTACTTGATCCGGTATTCTGTATTCTTTTTCACTCCGGCCTTGCCGAATCAACCTCCTGAAGTACGACCTTCCTTCCGAGGCGCTGCTCCCGGTTCCGTCGATGCTCTCATCCGCGTTAGTACTAGCTTCTCCGCTCAAACCGCCGGATGGAAGTTTATCAACGTTACACCCGGCACTGTACACGACGATTCTCACTGCCCCCTCTTTCAAATGCCCTTTCGCTCTCCGCTCGTCCAGCGCCTTCAAAAGCTCCACCACACGATCAGCAGATAGTGCTGCTTCCTCCACCGTGCGATCATCATCCGACGGCTGAGATTCTGAACTTTGAGGTGGCGTGTCGCGCTGAGGAACGCGCGGGGAGGACGGGATGGCGATGCACAAGCCGCCGTCGCGAGCCATGTCGCTCGTGGAAGCAGCTTTGCCGAAGCTAACGGCGCCGCTGATGTCGGTCTGGTCATTTCCCGTAACATCATTGCCTTCGGTCCTTGCTTCTCTGAACGAAGATCGTCGTTCCGAGACGGAAACCGCCGCGGAAATGGTGACGCCTCCGCGGAAACCGTTGTGGAGATGATGAGAATTTGATTTGCCGAGCAGACTTGGTGGAGGGGAGAAAATGCAAAGCATTGCCGCGGAGCTAACCATGACGACGGCGAATAACACGCGCGCTGCTCGAAAACAAGCTAGACGCCCTGGATATCCTGGTTTTCTGGATAAAGTAGTAATATTACCGCGGCTGTTTACTACTGGCGGCATCAAGCCTTGAGATTCAACATCTGCGGGTCTAGTTTCCTCTCTACAGGGACGCCGAAGTTTTTCATCAACTAGTAATTCCGGCCGCATCAGATTAATGATAGGCATGTTAATAGCGCGCGGAAAGAACTTCTATAGTCACTTATACTAAAACGGTGGTCAAATCGATAGGAGATCTCCTAAAACGGTGTCACTTGTTCTAATGCTGTATGAAACACAGACAGGCGAGAAAAAAAATTGCTGGTTGCATGATATCATTCCTGACAACTCCTGACACATAGGAGGGTGGAGAGTGATGTTAGAGAATTGGCAGAAAAGCTGGTTGAGGGACGACCGAGGGAAAATGGGAAGTAACGGAAGGGCGTGCACGCAAGGATGAAAGAGGAACGCGCTGAGAACCCTGGAATCGACTCATTGAAATTCAAGACTCGATGTTTACGTATTTGCGAAACATGTGTCGATCCAACACCTGGTAACAATCTCAGCGTATTTCCGTGGTTTGCGATTTTTGTATAGTAGTTCGTGAAATGGTAATCAGGTACACTGCGTTCGTCAGGTTACATATAATTGATCCGAGCCAGAACAATACGACCCGCTGATCGTTGCAAAGTGCGCTTGAACGCGCTCCAGTCAGAAAGGATAGAGCACAGAGTTTCGGTCGGATCGAGGGAGGATGAAGGAGAGAGTCACGCATATTTGACCGTGTCCCTTGACGCTTCGAAGGAGAATTGGTTCAGGAGGCTCGACAATCTGGCTAGGTGTCGCTTCGGTCCGGGCCCTCCTGACCTGCCCTTGTCTCACCGCGAAATCATCAACCTCCACCCTATCGCCCTCACCCAGAAGCAGCAATGTGCTCTCCCCCAGCCAGACCAAAAGGGCAAATCCAATCCCCCAAAGCCAGTGCCGCGTTGAAGTGTTGCGTGGAGAAAAGAGAGACACGACATGCCACCACAACCCGAACAAAACAAAAAGAGACTGTTTATCGTGCAGGTTGTCTAGATGTAGACAATACACCTTGTTTCACGCTACATTGGCTTAGGCTGTATTGACGAACCGGTTTGTAGAACACAAAAGTGTCCATAACGATGCTAGCACGCTGCGTATAAGCAGAATTTGCCGCACTCAGACATATCTGATAGCACGGTTTCCTTCCTAAACCATTGTGTACTTTTTGACATTTGTCGCCCATTATGCATTTGCCTGCCATCTTTCTAGGGTTGGGTTACTTCCACCAGCCTAGAAAACCCAAGCACAGTTGCAAGTGCTTACGGTTGTGATAAGGTCTCGAAACAAGGTATGCTTTGATTCACTCCAAGGTCCTGCACACCCATACTTACTCCTCCATGTGATTTTCAAATCCAGAGCTGCTATGTTAATATACAAATAAGCTGTTATGAAGTGACACAACCAAAGACGTAGCATAATTGGTAATCTGATAACAAAATTGGCTTTTCGGCCCCAGCCAGTGAGGGTTATTGCAGCACATGTATAACAGGCCATCAGATTCACTTTTAGGGACGTTGATGCATCAAGGTCCCTGTGAAAAAAATCCTGAATTTTCAGGGTTCCTAAAAAAAAAAGCCTGAATTTTCAGGGTTCCGGAAAACAAAAGCCTGAATTTTCAATCACATCATGCAATTGAGCAAGAGGGTAGCCTTTACGAACATGGTAGTAGAGGGATTCGAGCCGGAAACCCTTACCATTCGGTATCTACTTCGCTAACCACTAAGCCAGTTCATCGAGTCAACGATCAGTATTTTTTACACAAGATTTAATTATGTGGAAATGTTGGTTGACTTATTGTCTCGGGTGTTTTACGGGAAGGATTGAGAATGTGCATTCAGTGTACACTTCGATAAAAGTCTGAAACATCAGTGTTAGCTATGAAGTAAAGGCTGAAAAAATCAGTGTCACAAAAATCTCAACACTGAAAATTCAGTGTAGGTACACAAAACTAGGCTGAAAATCAGGAATTTCAGGGAAAAATTCATGATATCGTAGGGCCTGATGTATAATAGTACGCAACCCATACGCCATTTATATGTTATTGGGTCATACGACATAATGCATGATATGAAACATACCATATGAATGCCAATCTACTTGGTGCCATAAATTGGAATGGATTTGTCGATATCATATAAAATAGCGCGCCCAACAAAATTGTACATAGCGCGCTACGCTGGCCACTTAAATCTCCTTACTTTGCATCATCCTACATTCACGTATAACACTGCTCATCCACCTTATGGTTGCTCATCCCGTTACCACCTCACTGGATCAAGATCCGCTACCATTCGCGCCAACGTGTCCGAGCCATACACCTAGATTGGTAAACCGCGACCATACCAGACGCTTGAGTTGTTTCGAAACCTATGTATAAGCAGCCAAAAAATTACGAGTTGCCGTTACTATGGTTTTTTTGTACTCGAAGTTCGCTAATGTATTCATTCACGTTTCATCCTTTCCATATTGTTAATCAAATGTTGCTCGCTCTCTCACTCGGGCTTGCAAGGTATTTACAAAAATAATCAATCTCTCGGACCATACACTTTTTCTCGTTCCGTTTGATTTATATTTATTTTTCTATTTGTTTTGGTGGGCAGGGGGGGTTGGATTGAATCCTCATGAAGCCGCCATATGATGACTGAACGCGCATCGCTCCAGTGATCGGCAACACAAGCACCATCAGCACCTTCAGTAATGACAATCATCACATGGACTACTACAACATCTCGACATGACCGTGCGGAGCAACGCTCTGTTGCAGCCAACAATGGTCTGGTGGTGAACGTGTCAAACTTATATGCTATAGTCTTTCTAGGCTGTAGTGGGGTAGACAGTATGGGGTACAGCTTTCTCGGGTTTCATATTTGTACCCAACTCATTTCCTAGTTCATCATTCATTCCTCATCTCTTCACATGGTATCAGAGCTTGTTGGCTGCCTCATGTACCTGATGACCTGCACACGACCTAACCTTGCATACCCTCTTAGCAT